GTGTTTTATTTACTCCAGTACTTGATGACAATCAGGGTTTAGGGAGAGCAATATATCAAAGATCCCACCCATCAACTGCATTTACCATAGGGGAAAAATAGATTATGAAGCTATTAAAATTCAGCTGTGGGCTGTTAGGCCACCAAATCTAAATAATAGCTTGAGGTCCATGATAAAGCATTGTGGACAATAATGGAGTTCAGAGGTGGGTTTCAGCAGGTTCTGACCAGTTCTGGAGAACTGGTAGCGGAAATTTTGAGTAGTTTGGAGAACCGGTAAATACCACCTCTGATTGGCCCCGCCACCATCTATTCTCTGCCTCCTGAGTCCCAGCTGATTGGGAGGAAGGAGGGATTTTGCAGTAACCTTTCCCTGGAGTGGGGTGGGAATGGAGATTTTACAGTATCCTTTCCATGCCACGCCCACCAAGCCATGCCCACAGGTAGTAAAAATTTTTGAATCCCACCACTGATGGAGTTTATCCAGAATTCACAACCTGTGGCCCTAAGTTCATATATGGCATCTGCATTTTGCCTTTGTGCTCAGAATATCTGAAAACCAACAATGTTTCCTGCCTTTTTGAGGCAGGAAGCAGAATGAATGTGTTTTTAGCACATCACAGCTAATGTAACAGCCCTCCAAACAGATCTATGATACAGTTCCATCCATTTTGCAACTGTTCAAATATGCAGAGGGCAGTCCTTGGTTACTAAAGGATTGATTAGTGCTAGATTATATAGATTAACTTCTAACTCTGTATGACTTCCTATGTCAATAAAAGGCATAGCTATCACTTCTGTAAACTTGGGTTTGACATCTACAAAGAAATTCAACTTCCTGAACATCACTGACACATATACATAGGACAGGGGTCATTTCACACTGAAGGTGTAAACCTTATTGCATTTGTGTGTTGAAAACTTCGAAGTGATATGAACCCACCCAATATAAAAGGAGCCATTTGACAACTTGTAAACAGTGTGGGATGCTATGATGATCAGTGGCACAAATTAATTAGCATGCAGAAGATGTCTTTACAGTCTAATTAAATGCCAAAATATTTATTCTTTTAACTAAGATATATAATTGGAAAATAGCATCTCCTAATTGAAATATCTGACCTCTGAAATGAGAAAATGGCACAAAATAATTTAATGACTAAGTAATGGAGGATACATACTTCCCCAGTTCCGCATTAGTCTTTTTATTGCCTTCCAATAGTTGGCTGGTTGGTAAAACAAGCTTCTGAGCCAATATAAACTGGCTGAGAGGCATCTTTAGATACTGTTTCTCCGTATCTTCAAATTCCTTCTCTGGAGTTGTTCCAGTGAAAGTATTCCAGAATAAGTGGCATACGAACATGTTCCTTTTATCAGGAGGGAAGATAAGTTGGCTACCTGGGAGCTCTAACCTGATGAAGATTAAGATGAATAAACAGAGCTAAAGCCCAGGAGTCAAATAAAGAGGCAAACTGGAAGATAGACAGTCTTGATGAAAAATGCAAAATGCTAAAAGAGCAACAACTGAGAATACTGGGGAAAGACAGGCATTTATTAATTTCCCTCAAACCTGTTATCGGGAAAGCTGTTTCCTTCAGATCAGAGGTGGGTTGCCTCCGGTTCGCACCGCTTCTATAGAACTGGTAGTAAAACCGGCGGGAGGCTCACTGACCCCGTCATCAGAACGCTTCTGCGCATGCGCAGAAGAGCATGTGTGCGCGTGAGCGAAGCAAGCAAGCACACCCAGCCCCATTGCGAACCAGTAGTAAATGTAAGTAGAACCCATCCCTGCTTCAGATGATGCTAAGATTTGAAAGAAGAGAAGAATCAAGAAGTGAAAAAAAAGTAAAAACTTTGGCAGAGGAGAAATAGAAAACAGAAACTTAAAAAACATTAGGAGAGAGTGAAGTAGGAAAAACAGCATAATACGATGAAATACAGGGATTAAGTTAACTAAAATATAGAAGTTAGCTATAAACAACTACATTAGAGATGTAGGAGGGTAAGATATAAGACTATAATGAAGTTGGGCTTTGAAGAATATAGTGTAGATAAAAATCTTAGATAAATTAGAAAACTTCTTTTATTTATTATTTGTTTGTATAGTTTGCCCATCTCAACAAGTGACTCTTGGTAAAATCTTTGTATTAAGATTAATTTCTAAACTAGCTGAAGGCATTTATAATTTTCAATTCCTTTGGCTTTTCTTTAATTTGTAAACTTTCTTTTTGTAAAATAAAATGCACCAAGACAAATTCCTTGTGTGTCCAATCACACTTGGCCAATAAAAAATTCTATTCTATTCTATTCTATTCTATTCTATTCTATTCTATTCTATTCTATTCTATTCTATTCTATTCTATTCTATTCTATTCTATTCTATTCTATTCAAAGTCTCCCACCAGCTACTGAAGGGATGTATAAAAAAACTAACTGTCCACGTTTCCAGTGTTTTATGTATATTGAATCTGGGTCAATCTGGTTATTAACGGGAAAGAAGTAAAGTATCAGATCATATTACTTCATCAGCTGCAGAAAATGCTTTTTATGGCACTTGCATCTTGATCTTTTTACTTGAGATCATTGATATGCAAAGCAGGAGTTCTACTAAGGTTTGGATGGTCTATCCAGTTATTGATCAAGAGGTTACCCGCTTCATAATATGGTGTGACAATATTGATCATAATCCCTTCCAGCTTTGAGGGTCTATTGAACTCATTATATGCATTTATTTTAAAAGTCAATAAAATTTCCCCATCACCTGATACATTTCTAGGAGAACCAACATCATGAAACTCTGATGCCAGATTTTTCTCATTCAGAGGAGACAAGGAGAGAGGAGAGGAAAGAGTGGAGAGGGAGAAGATGGGAGAGGGGGAGGGAAAGAGAGAGAAGGAGAGGGAGAGGAACTTAATTCTCAAAATTGTGCTCCATTGCATTATGTATTTAGCAGATTTTTGCTCTGGCATTTTTTTGTAAGGCTCAAAGGAGGAGGCAGCAGCAGCAACAAACAAAATATTTGAAAATCAGATGAAATGGACAGGAACTGTACTTACTCTTAAAAATAAATAAGGTGTCCAAGGGATACATTCCCATTAAAAAAACACTTTTAAAAGTTCAAGAGAAGGGAAATAATCTTTAAAAAAACAACAACTTGGCACTCTTATAAAAATGTCAGCCTTTTAAAATGCCAACGAAAAAATTGGAAGAGATCCCTTGGCCATCAAATGCAATTCTCAAACCACCCCATGATTATTTTGAGAGAGAAGTATGAACGGTAGCCAGATTTAATTTGCAACTAGCATTTAGCCCACCATGAATTTCTCAAAAGGAAAATCTCCAAAGCCACCCATAGAGGCATTCATAGTAATATTATTTTCTTCCCCCCCCCACATTCTTAAGGAACAATCCTATTCCTTAAAAGGCTGAATTTCAGCCCTTATCAAACACTGGGCTCAATCTATTTTCAATTAACTGTGCTTGTAGTAAAACGAATACAATAAAATTTGGATGCAGACTTTCTTATAAATAGTTACCTTAATGAAACCTTTTATAAGACTTAGAAGAACTGGTGCCTCTTTTACTGACACAGTAAGATTCTATTGAGAGGAGAAATTCCATGAATCCAGCAACATAAGTGAAAATTCTTTTTTGGTCTGGCTACCACTCTTTTCCTTTAGGAAACCTAGTTCCCATTCATGAGAATGACTATGCTAATCTGCTTAAAGATGTGAGGAGCGGGAAGAGGTGTTGTGACTTCTAGACCCATACCTGGTCCTGTAGTAACATAGAAAAAATCCCATAGCACAAGCTGCCTGGACTATTGTAATGCTCTCTACATGGGAATCCCCTTGAGGAGCACCCGGAGGCTCCAACTGGTCCAGAATGCGGCCGCACAGGTGGTTATTTATTTATTTATTTAATTTGTATACCGCCCTACTCCCGAAGGACTCAGGGCGGTGAACAGCCAAAAGATAAAATACATACAATACAAATGTTAAAAAACCATTAAAATACAATTAAATAATTTGGCCCAGAAAACAAAATTTAAAACACCCCAAATTTATAAGACAAATTTAAAATTTAATTTTTTTTTTTTAAAAAAAAACAGTTTAAAAAAGAGGTTAGGCCAGGCCAGCCTGCTGAAATAGGAATGTTTTGAGGGCACGGCGGAAAGCGCGCAGGTCTGTAATCCTCCGTATCTCCGGGGGGAGCTCGTTCCAGATGGTAGGTGCTCCCACAGAGAAGGCTCTTCCCCTGGGGGCCGCCAGTCGACACTGTTTGACTGACGGCATCCTAAGAAGCCCCTCTCTATGGGAGCGTACTGGTCGGTGAGAGGCTACTGGTGGCAGAAGGCGGTCTCGTAGTTACCCCGGTCCTAGGCCATGGAGCGCTCTAAAGGTGGTAACCAAAACCTTGAAGCACACCCAGAAGACCAGCGGGAGCCAGTGCAGCTTGCGCAGGAGGGGGGTCACAGCTACAGCAAAGAGGACGACTCAGGAGTAGGGCCAAGAGTAGGGCCAAGAGATGATTGGCCCCTCCCATAAGGCTTAAAAGACCAGCAACGGCTCTTGGGTTTGTCAGAAAACAAGGTTGATAGACTTGTTCTTGTCTTGCTGCACTTATCTCTTGTCGGCGTCTTCTGCTTCTGAACTTTTGCCAAGAGAAGCCTTTGGCAGTTTTCCTAATTATACCAAGGTTGGTGATTAGATTGAAGAATTTGTGTTATGAAGAATTTGTTTTGATTTAGTTTGGACTACGTTGAGAATGAGTTAATTCTCAGCTGTTCTAATAAAATCTGTTTGTTTTGAAACTGTTTGCGTCTAATACTACTTACTTGGGCCTGGGTCACAACACTTAGCCACTGAGCTACCGCGTCCCTTGTGCCTAAATTAAGTTGCACTAAAAGTACTGAGTAAAGCATTCTTTACCTACAAGCTAATTCAGTGCTAAGAAATGCTAATGGGCTACTCGGCAAATATCTAAGGCTCATTTTCTTACCTCATAATAACTCTGGACAGCATTCATAAAGGCTTCATCAGCAACAATCTGAGTTTCTCCATTGAGAAAGGCTTGAAAGCGATCCTTAACAGTCTGCAATTGCTGTTTACTTATCTGTGGGGGAATAATAAAGAGAAACAAATATTTAGAATAACATAAATGAAATATTAATATTAATATTGACTATAGACTAAGTTATTTATTTATTCAATTTCTATAGCCACCCATCTCAGTCCTTGATTTTGGGTGGCGGTGAACAATACCAAAACAATTAAAACCATTGAAATTGATGGTTGTTGTCAAAGTAATTTTAACCAAGCAATAAAGGTGGAGTCAGTTTTTATGCACAACTTTTTATAAATTAATCATATTGGACACATTTACATCCCATCGAGGGTACATTTGATCTGATTTCATTTGATCTCCCCTCTCCAGCAACTCTGTGTGGGAGCTTTGGGCTGAAAGAGAGAGTGACTGGCTAAAATCAATCAGTGGTTGAGTGGGGACTTGGCCTGTGCTCTCCCGAGTTCAAATCCAATACATTAGTCACTATAATATACAGCTTTTCAATTCCCATATTTCAAGTTGATTTTCATTACTCAGAACCTTTTAAAGTAATAACATTTAAGATTGTGCTGAATGCTGAAATGTTAATCCAGGGACATTTGACTATGCACATTTCCACCTAGCATTCATTGCCTAAGAATATTTTGGTATAAAAGTCATATTACTAGATACATTGGTATTCAGTGAAATCTTTTATGCAAACAGGAATTCTGCCTATTGAAATTACTTAATCATGTGCATAAAAACCTTCAGTTTGAACAAGAACGCAAATGTGTCTAGCGGGCTTTGGGGAAGTTTTGTGGGTGCACTAATGCATCCCAAACTATCTGAATTCAGAGTAAACATCTAAGTATCCCCATTGGTTTTGTTCCATAGGAGATTGAAAACATACTCACTATATTCATCTTTCTCTTTACGGTGAATTATGGCGATTGACAATATTTTATGTGGAAATGGGAGTGTGATATTTAATTGCCTTCCAGACCTGTAGATCTTTCTATTTTCTACTGATCCCACTCATAAATCTGTGAAATGGTTACAGGCTATGCAACTGGAGACACAGCACCTCCAGCCAGGCTTCCTGATCTGGTTTCCAAAGATTTCATTTATTTTTGTCACTTGAAGGCAAGATTTATTATTTGGTTTTATGTTCCCAGGCCACAGACTGATATTTTCATTCCCCTGTTCTTTATTCCATCTATATCAGTTCCAATGCTGCTCTTTTATCATAAATGCACATTTTCGACTCATATTTTAGAAGCTTTCACTGGTTTTTTTTAAAAATTTCCTTTTGTTGCATTTAACCTGTGACTTATCCCAACTGACATACTCTATTTTAAGATGTCCCCGCTCTGAATATTTTGAAGATGGTTTCTTTGTAATTGTGAAAATATTTCTGTTATCTCCGCAAAATATTTTTAGATGTTACAGTGTTCAGGGTTTATATTGTCCTAAAAATTACAAAACATATAAAATTCAGGTTCAAATCTTTTGAGGAGTTTCTTTGACAAAGGACTTATCCTGACACGGATTGCATGTATGTTTAACTATTAGTAACAAGAAACAAATATTATCGTCATCAAATACAAATCCTTAACATTTGATATATTGTTATTCAATATAGCTAAATGTCTATGGAGATTTTCAGTCATCCAGGTCATGGTTGCCTCAAAGATGCTTTTTCAAGAGGCAATTGGACTTTCTGGTTTTTCTTTGAAGATGTTTCGCTTCTCATCCAAAAAGCTTCTTCAGCTCTAAAGAAGAAGAGCTGAAGAAGCTTCTTGGATGAGAAGGGAAACGTCGTCAAAGAAAAACCAGAAAGTCCAGTTGCCTCTTGAAAAAGCACCTTTGGGTTACTCAATAAAGTCTTAATGAAGATGATTTGCATGAAGATGATTTTCTAGTCTATTATTCATACAAAGAGCCAGCAAACATATATATTACTCACTACTACATCTTTGAGACCATTTAGTAAAAAAAAAACATTTTAAATTAATTTCCTAAAGTGTCCTTTAAATACATGACTCCAATTAAAACCATTAGCCTCTAGGTACACATACTTTCCAAGAAAGTGAAACCATATTTTCAAGAGATAGTCACTTGATCAAGTATTTTTGTAGTAATGTGTTTTTTTATTGATTTGATGATGATTTCAAATAACCCTTGAGTGGCACACAATACACCAGATAATACAAAAGCAGTATAATGAGACTAGCCACAAACCCAAACTAGAACAGAAGGCAAAGAAAAAGGAAGAAGATGGTGAGCTCAGCAACCATTCCCAACCATCCTATCATCTCACATCCAGTGAAGAAGGCTGAAGCTGCCCTACCACAAGGCTTAGGAGAACAATCAGGTGTTTATGTCCTCTGGAACAGGGGTTACCAACCTTTCGGACCTCAGGGACCACTAAATTCATAATTTTAAATCCTGCGGACCACTATTATGATCTGCCTAATGACCGGCTGGGTGGGTGTGGCTAGATGGTCATGTGACTGGGTGGGCATGGCCAACTCAATGTCACTCACACTGAGGGGTGCCTTGCTGGCCTCTACTCGCCCCTCCCTTCCCCACCCAGACACCCAAGGGCACCAACAGGAAGCAGTTGTTGGAGCTAAGCAGCCACCATGAGGAAGAGTTGGCAAAACATTTCAGTTCAAATTGGATCTGACCGAGAAGGAGACTCAGCAGAAGCACCTCACTGAGAACTAGGAGCATAGGCTTTCTAAGCAGAGGGAAGACCTGCGGGAGTGCAAGGCCAGGTACCGGTGCCTGGAGACTCAGCGGGCTGAGATGGTCAGCCAGATCCAGGCCATGATACAGTCCCACTGGAACAAGGCCCTCTTTGCCACCAGCTGCTCTTCCCTCCAGCCTTCACCCAAAGCCCCACACCAGGAAGCTGAAGCAGACCCCAAGTTGGAATTTCTGCCCCCCTCCGACCCACACAAAAGGACCCCAAAGGGGGAGACTTTCTGCAGCAACACAAACATTCATTGCACATATCTGGCCCAGGGGGCGTAGTTTGAAGACCCCTGATTTAGTGCAATATAAAAAATGCAAATAATTTCTCTGTGGACCACCAAAATTTTCTCATGGACCACCAGTGGTCCATGGACCACCAGTTGGTGACCACTGCTCTGGAACACCAACAGGGTATAATGATGTCCTTTGGTAGCTACTCCATGAAACGAGTTATATAAATTAGATTGGAAGGCATCCTCAATTGTTTGCTCAAGTTATCTCTTTTTGTAATAATAATAAAAAATGACTTGATGGGGCAAAATGCGGATCTCAGAGCACAGTACAAGTAGTTCTTGACTTACAACAATTCATTTAGTGACCGTTCAAAATTATGGCAATGAAAAAAGGGATTTATGACCATTTTTCACACTTATGGCCATTGCAGCATCCCCATGGTCATGTGATCAATATTGTGTCGGCATGTCGGTATGTGACTCATATTTATGACGGTTGCAGTGTCCCAAGGTCACAAGATCACCTTTTGCGACCGTTTGACAAGCAAAATCAATGGGGAAGCCAGATTCATTTAACAATCCTGTTACTAACTCAACAACTGCAGTGAATCACTTAACTGTGGCAAGAAAGGTTGTAAAATGGGGCAAAACTCACTTAACAAATATCTCACTTAACAACAGAAATGTTGGGCTCAATTGTGGTCATAAGTCGAGGACTACCTGTACTGGGCTTCTTTATGCTTTGATTAAAGAAAAAAAGTGCAGGTACTTTTGTGTCTACTTGGAAACCGCTTCTGGACTTTGTGCTTGAGGTAGAAAAAAAATGAAAATTTGATTTTGGGTTTTACTGATTAGATAGATCTGCTATTATAAAAATGGCTAGTTTATACTATTATGTAAAGGTAAAAAGTTGAGTTTCGATGTTACTTCTTATTCTACTGCACCAAAGGGAGTCAGAAGTCACTGCCTTGTTTATCTTTTCCTCCTTCTTTTCCTCCCTTCTCCCTTCCCCTTCCCCTTTCCTATTTTGCATTTTTGTATTTCATATTATAAACTAATAAAAAAGGATTGATTAAAAAAAAGAGAACTGGCCTTCTTTATACTAGATTACAAACCAAGAATATTTAGGCCTTCAGAAATAAAACCTGGCAGCTTGGGAAACACCAGGTAATTAAATCAGTATTTCTCGGTCACTACAAGATAAACACTGATAATTTGAATGCTCTTTCCATAGATCAAAGTCCACTTTCATCAATTGGCACCCACCTTTGTAACAAGAACAAATAACGCAATGCAGCTTTTCTTTGTCACGGAGGGAATGCATTGGGTCACAACTCAGCAAGGCCTTGTTTTCTTCTCACAAAGGTTTCAGCAACTGGAACCCACACATTAAATTAAGCCCACCATATTTAAGAGCCGTGGTGGCGCAGAGGTTAGAATGAAGCATTGCAGGCTGATTTTGCTCACACTGCCAGTAGTTCAATTCCTTCTATCCTGACCTGTTTAAGGTTGACTCAGCCTTCCATCCTTCTGAGGTGGGTAAAATCAGGACCCAGATTGCTGGGGGAAATAGGCTGACTCTGTAAACTGCTTAGAGAAGGCTGTAAAGCACTGTGAAGCAGCATATAAGTCTAAGTGCTATTGCTATTGCTATACTTAAGAAGTGGCCTGTGTCAAGGTCTGTTTAAGAGCCTGTAAGAGACAGAATGTTTTACTTGCGTCTTCATGCACACACACACACACAATTTCTCTCTATCTTTTATACTGGCATAATTCATTTTTTCCCACCAAAATCAATGGAACATTAAACAGAAGGATGAATGTTTCGGCTTTAAGTCAAAGAAATACGGCATTCAGCAACCTGAGAGAGAGGAGAATAGCCAGCTTCACCTTTGTTCTTCCCTTCCTACTCATCTGAGTGAGTAGTTCTCTTAACCTCTCAACCTAAGAGCCACAGTGGCACAGTGGTTAGAGTGCAGTACTGCAGCTACTTCTGCTGACTGCCGGCTGCCTGCAATTTGGCAGTTCGAATCTCACCAGGCTCAAGGTTGACTCAGCCTTCCATCCTTCCGA